CATTCAATTCAATGGTATTTATTCTGTGTTATTGTTCTTGCTAACATATTTTGTGAATTCTTTTCTAGAAAGAAGACCAATTTTGTTCACAATTACTGTATTTTGAGCCTGCGTAGTCCTCTACACCGCCATGTAGTGGGGCCAGGACCCACTGGCCCCAAATGCAGAGACATCACTGATAAGTACAAGTAAAGCATATTTGCAGTTCCCTATTCGCAAATTCGCACGGTGGTCGACTGGTTAGCACGTCGGACTCACAGCGCAGAGGTGCAGGGTTCGATTCTGGCTGAAGCGGATTACAAAATGGATGGATGGATATTCGCAAATTCACCGAGTTGTGTTTGATACCACCAAACAAAACCTTGTCCAAATAGGAAAGTAGTACAGTAGAAAGAAGTCCAGTTTTTGTACTCTGGTGCTGCAAGAAATTTGACGTCCTTATTGGTTTTTCAGCTCCACAGAGGCAACAATGGCAGGTCTGGTCATAACAGACAATATGTCAGTTATTACAATCAGAGCTCCTGGTGGAATTGGCTCGGGGTGTCGACTGCCTTATCTCATTGTCATCCTTTCAACCTCCCTGTCTCGAAATTTACAGCCGGCCTTTCATCACTGGAGCAGTCGCCGCATGTCAGCCCGTCAATATCCTTTGAGAAATGTTTTCACCCCTGCTTTCACGCTGATGAATCACTGCCACGCTCAATGCATTACCTTCTCTGTACGTCATAATTAAAGCGGCCCCTCAAGGCGACTTCACCGCTGGACCGAAATCTGATCCCATTAGATTTATTTGAATTGGATCTAATGAGAGAAGTCAAGGGGATTATCTCATTCACTTCAAGATGTGACGCCACATTCAAAAACAAGTGAGTCTAAAATGCGCTGCAGGACCTCCATTGGCGGCAGCAAAATGGCGGCGCGCACAGACGCGAAGTCAGGAGCTCTCCCTTTGGATGCAGTATTAGTTGTATATTTGTATATATTTTTTCTCTCCCAGTCAGTAACCTGCTGGGCGAAGGTCATGTACAACCGACAAGACCTATTAGACATTGGATTACGATGTGAACACGCCATTACGGCCGAATTCACGAAACACAACAACATACCAGTGGATATTGCGCGCCAACCTGGGTCTCCATGGATAACACCGGGAATACGACGTCGAAGGAAGCGCCGCGGCGACCGTGGAGGAGCGCTAAACAGATTGAAGCGCGACCCACACAGACCATCCATTCCGAGCCTTTTCCTTGCTAACGTGAGGTCATTGGCAACAAAAATGGACGAGTTGAGACTCAGGGTGGCGACAAAGACCATCAACAGCTGTGCACTACTCATCACCGAGAGTTGGCTAACACCTAGCATCTCGGATGCTAACATTGAAATCCCTGGGTACACAATTCACCGACAAGACCGCAGCAAAGAGTCCACAGGGAAATCACGGGGCGGTGGAGTAGTGATCTACCTAAACAACAACTGGACTTCAGACTCCAAGCTGGTAAGCAGTCACTGCTCCCAAGACCTGGAATATATAACAGTAAAGTGCAGACCATTCCACCTGGCCAGAGAACACTGTGCCGTCTTCATTACTGTTGTGTATATAGCCCCGGATGCTAACGCTAGCATAGCATTATCCACCCTCCACGATACCATCAGCGCCCAACAAAACAAATACCCCCACGCCGTCCACATAACAGCGGGGGACTTCAACCAGACGAACCTTAAGTCAGTGCTCCCTAAACTATACCAGCATGTGAAGTGTGCCACAAGGGGAGATAACACACTGGACAAGGTCTACACAAACATCAAGAACGGCTACAGGGCCAGACAATTGCCCCAACTTGATCAGTCTGATCACATGTCCCTGCTCCTGATACCAGCATACAAACCTATCAGGAAAAGCGCCCCCATCACAACAAAAACTGTGAAAACATGGCCGGAGGGCGCCATGGAACAGCTTCAGGACTGCTTTGCAACAACAGACTGGTCGGTCTTTGAAAACAGGGACCTTGAACAGTACACAGCATCTGTCCTAGGCTACATCACACACTGCATGGACACTGTCACGAAGGAGAAACGCATTCGGATATACCCAAACCGGAAGCCCTGGATGACAAAAGAAGTGCAGTGCCTACTCAAAGACAGGGACACAGCCTTTAAGAAAGGAGATCAGGCGCTCTACAGTGCCGCCAGGGCTAACCTGAAAAGAGGAATCAGGAAAGCTAAGGCGGACTACAAGAGCAAGATCGAGGACTGCCTACAGAGCAATAACACCAGGAAAGTATGGCAGGGAATACAGCACATCACCAACTTCAGACCCTGCAAACCCACGGCTGACGGCGACGCCACCACAGCAGAGGAGCTAAACAGCTTCTTTGCGCGGTTCGAGAGAGAGCCACCAACAGCCACACCCGCCCACACCC